GCAGCTGTTTTGCTGCCTTTTTCAGTGCTCTTACTGAGCCCGGTTAACATGTTCACTCATTTTAACCTTTTGAACTATTGGATATCATAGTCAAATTATCCACCATAAGGAATCAAAGCAACACAGTCATGATAACAGTTAATTCTCAAGTAAAATCAGGTTGGAGCTCTCATTTGCCACACATTTAATTTACATGTGTGTATCTTAGCCCTCAGAGTAAAGCAACAATGAATCAGCCAGTATTGGAAGATACAGATTCTGAACCTATATCAGCATTCAAGTAGAAAAACATGAGACACTAGAGAAAGTGTTACAATCATGCCGTATCCACTTAACACTACACATAGATCTGAGCACATGTTCTGGCTGACATACAGATTTTATCCTTTCTGACCTTCTGTGCTGATCTCTGAAATTGTGGCTGTTTCATGTCTTGATCAGGGCTTCATCAAGATAAAAAAAAAAAGTGCTAAACTAGGACAGTACTGAGCAATTAGTTACACTATAAAATCTTATCCTAATGCCAGGTGTCAGTGGCTCACGCCTGTAATCCTAGCTACTCAGGAGGCTGAGATTCTAAGGATCTCCATTCAAAGCCAGCCCAGGCAGGAAACACCATGAGATTCTTACCTCCAGTAAACCATTCAGAAAACCAGAAGTGGCGCTGTGGATCAAGTGGTAGAATGCTTGCCTTGAGCTGAAGAAGAGCTACAGTGCCCAGGCCCAGAGTTCAAGCCCCACGACCAACCAAAAAAAAAAACACTTATCCTGTTACTGCATAATAGAGAATATGCTTGAGTGGGTAAATGACTTTTGCAATTTATTTATTTGTAAGTTAAAGTTAACTGCTCAGTATTTTGGAAAGTTAAATGAGCAATAAAATAAGCACTACTAATAAAATATAATCTTTTAAAAATTTTGTTAGCTATAATCACTACTAATTATCGTCACCTTTTGCCTAATGTAGAAATAGTGGGGATGAAATTTTCTCTTCTGCTTTTTTAAAACTTAAAAGTAGGTAGAAATTAAAAATGTAAATAGTTGTCCAAAGAGGTTTCAGTTCAACATATCAATTTATGAAAAATTACATCTTCATCAATGTCACCCTACCCCTCTATTGTTTTTCCAGAATGAAATTTTCCTTTTTTTCTGTTAAAATTATTATGTTCTTTTTTAAAATTTGCTTTTATTAACAAGGTGATATACAGAGGGCTTACAGTGACCTATGTAAGGTAGTGAGTACATTTCTTGTCCAACATTGTTACCTCCTCCCTCATTTTTCTCCCACTTTCCCTCTCCCCTAACACCCCCCTCTCCAGACTGTAAAGTTCATTTCCAACATAGTGTCTTGTGGGTATTGCATTGGTTCACTCTTTATCCTTTGTCGCATCATTTTCTGATTCCCCTTCCCTTCCCCAAATCAGAGAAACAGATGAAACAGACTGTGTCTTTTCAGTTCTTCCTTACTCATACCACAGGTACTCCTAATTGTTTTTCTTTATCTACATTAGCTCTCAGTTATTATAAGGTAGTTTCCTATTTTTTCTAAGCATTTCCTTTTTCTTTCCTCTGTTAAGATAGTTGTGTTCTGGCTTATGAAATATGATGACTTTAAAAACTACTGCAGAAAAATCTCAAATATATTAGAGTGTTTCATTATGTTTTATGAATCCAGAGATTTTCCTGAATATATTCAAATAAATCCATAAGAAAGCTGGATATCCATGTTATTATAGATCCTTGTTATTATTTTAATTTTAATGAGCACTTGAAAATATTTGAACTGATTTTTATTTGATACAAACTTTCAAGTTTTTTTAGCAGTTTATTTTGGTTAATTTACTATTACCAAAAAGTAAGAAATAGAATCATCTGGTCTTATTACTGGGTTACTCAACTGTGACATTCATCTTGCTCTGTACTGCAATCTTCATTTCCTCAGACCATTGAGCCTTTTACTTTCCCTTGGGCTTGTGAAGTGACTTTTGTGTCTGGTGACCTAGTTCCCAAGATTGAAAGAAATGCGAGGAAACTATTTCACAGAGTCCTGCCACATCACCAGCATATAGGCTTTTAAGAATCCTACCAGCTTTAGTTTCTGTGAAGCCCACAGTTTATGTTCATGTTTTATGCACATGTGATTCACTAGTAGTCATAAAGCACAAGTGCATAAATTTTTGTGCATAACAATTTGTGCTATCATAAATAGCTCAGAAGAAAGAGGCTTGAAAAGCAAATTAAAAACCATACTATTGTAATTTGACAAGTATGGCTTGACATTAAAATAATGCACTACGCAGAAAGTAAAACAAGTTCTTGATAATTACTGTCCTTCTGTTAATAACAAAGTGATGATTTAAGCAATGTCTAAAAACTACAACTAACAAATTATTTTAAAAAGCAAATCTAGAACTATCTCATGTAGAAATACTTATGTAGTAAAAATGGAAAAATATTTTAAAAATCTTTTCATCTAGTCTAACTTGCAGTTTGACAAATAAAGTTAGACATTTCACAATGGTCACAGAGACTTATGCATAGGTTGAGTAATTTTAAATCCTGAAACAATCTCATTCCCTACTTTGTGAGCATGACCTTAGTTTCATTAAATATATTCAAGTCTTTACTGGCATGTTTTAGCTCATGTGATCTGGATGGCTTTTACAAGACATAATTGTTGCCTGCATCTTTTTCCTCATCACCTGCCTATCGGTGTATGACAACCATAAGGACAAGATAAAGCAGGCTAGGGAAGATGAAATACAAAGGAGAAATGATAACTTTCTTTACGTCTTACTAAATATTTGTTGCTTCAAGTATCAGCAAAGACTGAAAAGCAAATATTGTTTGATGAAGATTTCATTCTAGAGGGAGTAGAATCATCAAATGCCTAAGAAATAAAACTGTCATTCTCCTCTGAGATTTTCTTTCACATCTCCCTCGTCTTCTCAGGAAGATATTAGGATTTCTGTTTTTACTTTTTGTTTCTTTCCATGTTTTATCAGTTTTCCAGTGTTTTTTATAATAAATTATATTGGTTTATGGTATGGGTCTGAGGAAAAAAAGGTAAATTGATTCTTAATTTGTCTTTTGTCATAAGTTACAAAATAATATATTGATGATTGTCATCATTCCTGATTTCAATTTAAAAGCACCTTACATCTGTAATCCTAGCTATTCAGTATGTTGAGATCTGAGGATCTCAGTTTGAAAATGGTCAGAGCAGGAAAGTCTGTGAGACTCTTATCTCCAATTAACAACCCCAAATCCAGACGTTTAGCTGAGGCTCAAGTTGTAGAGTGCTAGCCATGAGTGGAAAAGCCAAGGGGCAGTGCCAAAACTCTGAGCTCAAGTCTCAATGTGGTACTAAATAAATAAATAACTGAAAGTCAGTGCACTAAATTTCCCAGTCTGAATGTAAATAATCCTCAAAAAAATCTTATATAAAGTGTTTTATAATATAAAAAGATACAACCAGAAAAAGGATCTATAAAATATGATATCTGTTTAAAAATGAAAATAGAGATTAATGACATTGAATTAAATGATACATGCAAAATTGTAAACATCTAATACAGGTAAAAGTGCAAACCATACTCATAGAACAGTTTTGGCTGGCCATTGATTAGATGTATTTCTAATTGACATGCTCTTCAATTATGTAAATCAAACATGCTGTTGTTTCAAGGTGAAAGCAACCACATATCCAGCAGGCCATGTGAAAACTACATGATTATCCAAGTTTTCCTCTTTTTTACATTTTTATTTGTTAAGTTTCACACTATGAAAGATTTCCCTGAATTTGAAATTTTTAGAAATGAACCATCATGCTATGATCTGAATCATAACCCGCCTTCTATGCAGATGCCACTTCACAGTTGTTACTTCATGAAAATCTCCCCTGGAATAGTGAGATTATTCTGAAATATTCCTGCAACTCTTGATTATAATTCAAGAAGCACAAATAAAAGTTGAGTATTTTCAAGGGACTGAGAAAGAAAAGAGGAATGGACAGTCGTAGACAATTTCTCATTTTTTCTGTTCCATACTGTCTCTTTCTGAAGTGTTGTACTATATGTACGCTACATTTTCAAATAAATCATTCTTGGGTGGAGCCAAACTACCAAAGGGTGAACATAGAGGAATCTTAGAACAAGAGCAGAAATGAAATGACGACGACTCAACCAACATTACAGTTATGGAACTCATAGGACTATTTTAATAGAGCTCCTGAAGGCAGATTCATGAAATAGAGAAATGCTCATGAGCTTTTATGTTCTTGTTCCTCAGCTCTATTCTCTGTTTAACACTGCTGTTACAGACAGTGATTCTGAATACTTCTTTTTCATCTATATATAACAACCTTTTTAAAATTTAAACCCCTTCAAGGCTGAGATTTCCTTATCTCCTTAAGCCAGTCAATATGAATATAAATCCAACAAATATCCTCATTCTTTCAGATCTCACTTAATAAATGGTGAACATGTGTGAATAGAATTAACTAGGGACTTTAAAATGCTCAATTTTCAAATGCTGATAAAGGATTTATAGGATATGAGCATTGTATTTTATATATACCAAAAATATTTCTGGATCATTCAAAAAATATCAGTTGAGACAATACTTCACTAAGCATACAGCTTAATTTTGTGAGTAAGTATTCCCCAGCAGGGGAATACTGATAAAAAAGATCAGTGTTAAAGAAACAAAATAGCTTCTCCTTGAAATGCTTATATAGAATTCAGTTGATGTGCTTCATTCTTTATATCCCTGCAAATGTTATGTTCTGAAAAAGCGTCCAGTGCTATTATCATCCCAGAATGTCCAACTGATTCACATCTCAGGAAAAACAGAAAATGTTTTACCTATGGGAGAGAAAGAGATCTATTCATTGTGGATATGGAAGATGTCTAGCACATTACTAAAAATCAGGTTACTGTACAACTGTGTAATGGTTTCTACGCAATTGCAACTTAATATCTTTTTGTTGTGTTTCCCAGCACAGTGACGCAGTCCATGACCTTCTTCTGGATGTGATCACATGGGTTGGAATTTTGCTGTCCCTAGTTTGTCTCCTGATTTGCATCTTCACGTTTTGCTTTTTCCGTGGGCTCCAGAGTGACCGTAACACTATCCACAAGAACCTCTGCATTAGCCTGTTTGTAGCTGAGCTGCTCTTCCTCATTGGAATCAATCGGACTGACCAACCAGTAAGCCACCCACACTGACATTTGCAAAGAATTTCTTGAATACTTGCAATATTGAAGAAAAACATAAATGATTAAAAGTATATTTTAATTTTAATTGATAGTAACTTTCAGATCTGGCTCAGTGTTACTTTTAAATGACTTATTTGCATACAGGAGTGGTCATTATATTTATATATATACATGTATATATATATTAGAATAAATTTTTGGCTTTGCAGGCTATTGTCAGTTGAAACTGCATCCATAGATTCACTGCTCCTTATTATGAACCTCTGACATCTGAATGCTGTGTTTCTGACAAATGATGGGACCTAGCTTGACACATCATTATTACTTTAAAAAAATCCCAAGTACACAATTTACACTAGGATTCACTCCAAGTGATGTACAGTTTTGGGTTTTTGGACAAATACATGGCACCATATAATCAATCTTTTAAATTCATAAAGTATTTTAACCGCCCTGAAAATTATGCCTCCCCTGTGCATTTGTTTTTTTTCTTTCTAAGCCATGGAAAACATTGATTTTTTAAGTCTTCATAATTTTGTTTTCCTTTTCCAAAATATCATATACTTGAGAACATATACTATGCAGCTTTTTATGTTGGCTTTAATCTATTAGTCTTATATATGTAAGTTTCATGTCTTTTTGTACCTTGCTAGCTCATTTCATTTTCACACTGACTAATATTTCAGTGCCAGTTCCACCACAATTTGTTTATGCATTCACCTATTGAAAGACATCTCCATTGCATCTGAGTTTTAGCAATTATGAAGTTACTATACATATTTGTGTACTGATTTTTGTGAGGACACACCTTTTTAACCTCTTTACGTGAATATTAAAAAACAAAATTATTGAGTTATATGGTAATCATATGTTAATTTTTGAAAAAAAATCACTAAATTATCTTTCAACCTGTTTACAGTGCTCTACATTCTCACCAGTAATAAGACATACATTTCTTTAAAAATTCTGTTTCACAATGTCTCTTAAGATCTTTATATATTTGTTGCACATATTTTCATTACTTTAATCATAGAGATGAAATTGTGATAAGCTTAATAATGAGATAATTTACAGAACAGAAGAATATTTATCTAACAAATATGATTGTTATTTGATAAGTCTAAAATGAAGTTATGAATGGACATAATTTGGAACGTAGTATAAATGGCAGGTCATTTTAGAATATATAAGCTCTTCTCCAATTTTGTTTCATACTTTTGGCAGATAAGTTCTTTCACCACCTTAACTGCTAGCTTCATACTTTGCTGCGCTCTATTTCCTTGTATTGTGGAAGGAAGGAGTGCAGAAAAAAAAAGAGAACAATACTGGTCAACTGGTTTTGGTAAAAACCAAATAGAAAGGAAAAATATACATAATATGTAATGATTTCCATGTGCTTTATTCCCTTTTGATTTTTGTGAAGCCCTTTATTAAGATATTTGTATATGGTAAGTTTACTCTCATGGCTAGAACTGAAAATGAAAGGAAATATTTCATTTTTTTAAAATTGTATAACATTTATGAGTATAATAATTTATTCATTTAATACTGTTCTCTAGTATATGTCCATATGCGTAGATTGCTTAATAATATAAATGCAATTGAATTCATTCTATGATGATGTATTCATGATTAATAACTGTAAAGGATATAATTATGGTGAATATATTTTAATTGCTCAGCTCACTTATAAAAGAGCCTCTCTAAAATGTAAATATACATGAATAAGCAATCAGAGTACACACATTTCCCCCCCAAAAAAAGTATAGCTCTAGATTAAAAAAAATTAATAGTTGAAATTCTAACTCTAAAAGAGCAGTCAATGAAAAATTGTGTCATTTTTAAAGAAGGTATCATTTATCTCTGTCTTAACCTGTAATTCAAATTCCATGTGATTTGCTTTCATTTAGAAATCTTACTTTTATTTTTATTTCCTGAAATTGCATGCGATCTAAAAAACTGGTACCAAATGTTGCATGCAGCACGAAACGAATCTCTGAATCACAAAGAATAGTGATGGATAGAAAAGAGAGGGAGTGCAGCTCAGCAAGCTGGTCTGTTCTCACACCGCTGGTTAGGTGTCCTCTCCTACAACTCAGGTAGTGTTGGCCACCTGCTCCTTTTCCACCTCAGTCCTTTGGCCTCCTCATGGTCTCCTTCATTGCCATCCTGTAAACACAATGACACTCACCTGCCCTTGTTCTCACTTCTAAGGGATCGTACTAATACTCCAGTTAAATTTTCTAATTTTTCTCTTGCTCAATCTTAGAGCTACAATCTCCTTCTACAATATTATTATTAATTAATGATATTTAGATTAAACTATTTTCCATGGGTTTAATACTTCTGTATCAGTTTTTTAAAAGTTTTTTTAAATATTTGTACCATGTCAGTATTGGCGCTTGAACTCATTTCCTTGCTTCAGGCTGGGGCTCTACCACTTGTGTCACACCTCCACGTTCTCCTTTTCTTTTGTAATTAAAAAAGTTAAGAGTATTAGATGTAGCTCAGAAACTGACATAGAGAGAGCACTTGCCTAGCATGTCTAATATCCCAGGTTTGATCCTTAACACCATAAATTATGTGGTGTTTATATATGTGTCTATGTTAGCATACCTAGAGTAATGTCTATGTAGAATTTCCTGAGACTATTTGAAAGTCTTTAGGCAAAATTCAGTACTAATCAGTAATAATGCTTCCCCTCTCTCTCTTTCCCTCTCTCCCTCCCCTCTCTTTAAATGCTATCCTGACATGTCATCCATAGCCATCATGAAAGTTAAAAGCAGTTTGCAAAGACAGGGAACACTGAATTCATTTTTAGCACATGCGTTTTATCAATCTTAGCTAAGCTATTTGCAGTCCTCCTTCATTACTGCTAGGTTGGTAAGTGGTTTAGTGTTAAAGGCAGTTGATGAATATTCCCTGTGGAAACTGTTTGACTGACTTGTCCGTTCTTTTCCCTAGATTGCCTGTGCTGTTTTCGCTGCCCTCTTACATTTCTTCTTCCTGGCTGCCTTCACTTGGATGTTCCTGGAGGGGGTTCAGCTGTACATCATGCTGGTGGAGGTTTTTGAGAGCGAGCACTCGCGAAGGAAGTATTTTTATCTGGTGGGCTATGGTATGCCTGCTCTCATTGTGGCTGTGGCAGCTGCAGTGGACTACAGAAGTTACGGAACAGACAAAGTGTGAGTTGATTGTGTGTTTTCTCTTTCCTTCCTTTCTTTTAAAATCTAGTTTCTAATAAAGCTTTGGGTTCTCTTGGTTTGTTACCTAAAGCATTAAATGTAAGAAGTCAGAAACAAAGGATATAATTAATCTAATGTAGCTTATATGAGTTATGTTAGCCTATGAGTTGAAAAGAAAAACATTCTTGAATCTAAGTGTGATGCTATCTTCAAGCACAACCATTTCTCTACATTATCACTTGGAGTAAGAGGTAAAGATGATAATTTTGTTATTTTTTTCAGAGCGCTGAGACATTTGCCACACAAGGAGCTGTGACACATGTACTAGGACAAAACAGAGAGATTCCCAACATTGGTGGCTTCTCACTTTCTTGTTATGTATATGCTAGACATTGGAAAGTCTTTTGCTTTATGAACAGGAAGTCCAGAGGATAGAAACATTTTGTGTTTTTCCTCCTTTAACCTCTGTTTTTGTAGGGTGCAGTGATAAATTTTATCTTTAGCGATATCCAGCACACTGGAAAAAAGAATTCAGTTGAAATTGCTTCTTGACAATTTATGTCCTGAAAGTGAAGGAAGCCCTCGATGGAAGAAACAGAAGTCTGAGGTAGATCTCTGATGAAAAACCATAGTGAGGACGTAGACTGGGGAGAGAAAATAAAAGTAGCGAAGGAAGAGAGGTAAACAGACCCTTAGAAAGAGAATCATAGAATTGAAGGTCAAAGAAAGTAAGAGAAAGTTTCAAGTTGACATTTCAAAACCAGTGGTGATTTATGTCAAAGATAATTCAAGTAAGATAAGCACTGGAGAAAAATCATTTGACCTTTGCAACAGCTATTTGGAGAAAGAGTTGGGAGCAGAAGCCAAATTGGAAGGTGTGAAAAGATAAGTTAGTATCCAGAAAGCAAAGTTTTTAAGAATTATGTATACCATGGAATAATTTGACTGAAAAATAGTGATCATATTAGATTCTTTGATTAAAGTAACCAAGGAATTTATGTAGAAAACCAATGCCTTATGGGGTTTGAATGTAGCTCAGTCTTTTAGTACTTGCCTCGTGTTAATAGGGGCCTTGACTGTTCCCAGCACTACAAGTAGTTGTGGTTAAAGAGGATGACAACGGAAGCCTGTGTAGGATGAGAACAAACATGTTTATGAAGAACAGTGGAGAGAAAGTACCTTTCCTCTCACTTGTAGTCAATGCATATAAGCTGAATGATAGGTAAAGGTACTCTTGGACCATTGGGAACAAAAAGATAGATGACTATGGCACACAAGATTAGGGACACCTTGAATTGATGTTGAAAGTGGTTTCTGAACTGACCTAGTCCATGGTATTGATTTTACAGATGAGGAAATCAGCCACATTAACCCAAAGTTGTACCCATGGTTATATATAGATTTAGACAGAAGCAAACATGTCATAAACCAAGTCACATTGTGTTAAATGTAGGAGGATCCTTTCTACATAGCAAAATGACCTTCTTATTTGGGGTAAAGAAAGGTAAATTTCTCAGACGCTAAGAAAGGTAAATTTCTAAGCAGAGAAAGGTTCCCATCAAATCTAAGCTGCTGAGATCTGTTGAATGAATAACTAAGGTCACGTTGAAGAGTCAGGAGATTTGAAGAGCTTTGAAATGAGCCCTCTGGAAAATGTGTTAAAGAGCCAATTAGACATTAATAAAAAAAAATTCCAAGCAGCAGTGAAGGCTCAGGTGAGGTTAGATAACATCAATTTGTCCAAAAGTTAATAAGCCAGGCTTCTGAGAGTCAGCAGCCCTAGCTGACTAGTAATAAAGCAGGTTGCTTCCCAGAAATGAGAATTCCTAAAGATGGAACAAGAAAAGGACAGCAGAATTATAGGAAGCCTTGTGAATATAACATATATGTGGTACCTAGGCACCAATAATACAAATAAAAGAAATCTATTTTCCTTCTTTCCTTCCTTCCTTCCTTCCTTCCTTTCCTCCTTCCTTCCTTCCTTTCTTTTTCTCATTTGGGCACTGATGGTTCATGCCTGTACTCTTGACCCCTCACCAGGCTGAGATCTGAGGGCTGTAGTTCAAAGCCAGCCTAGGCAAGAGTCCAGGAGACTTTTATCTTCAATGAACCATCAAAAATCTAGAAGTAGAGCTGTACAGTTAATCGCTAGATTGCTAAGGGCACAAATAATTATATGTAAATGTAATTACTAACAATTGAGTTTGAACCTGACTTTGTGAAGTATTGTCAAATATTAGCTCATTCTCATTCAGTAACAAGGATGGAACAGACTAGGCTTAGAAAAAAATATTTTCTCTTAAAGGTATTTTAGGATAGAGGTGTTATATTGATCATAGGTTTGTGGTTCTTATAAAAACAACACCTGGATTGATATGCTTCACACGTTATAAAACTCAGACCTTTAAATTGTACCCTTCAATGGCAGTTTGTTCTCAATGTTACACACTCAGCACCACTCAAAGAGCCCAATAGCAAAGAGCCCAACAGCAGTCACTCCTCCAGGATTGTGTAATTTTACATTTTGATCAGTACACTCTCCCCCTAAAAATTAATTTGAGTGATACCATTATTTCTGACCTTCTAGGACTTCAAATATTGTTCTTACGCAGTTCTGTTTGCTCTCTTGAAGTTCTTGATTTTCTTTTCTTTTCATTTAATGATTGTATTTCTCTCCTTAGTTATTTGCAAATATTCCTGTTACTGAATTGATTCAACTTGTATGCTTTGCATTTTGGTGATTTATTTGGAGACAGATGTCATTTCCTGGATAGTTGAAATCTGTCTTCTTTTAGAATCAATATTGTACAAGACTGGTGACTTTGTGAAAGCTTTGGCCATCATTGCTCTAATTTCCTGCACCATAACTAGAATGTCTCATTTATTGGTGTTATTACTATATGGGAATAGAGGCTAATTTATTTCCAAGGAATGTATTCAAAACAAACCTTAAGAGTTAAGCTTTATAATTATGATTTTTTGCCCAAATAAAAGCAAAACAGAGAAAAAGAGCAATAGGTAAATGTTACAGATAAATAGGAAACAAAGAATAAAATTCTATCATGGGCAGATACAAGGCATCTCAATATCTCTTTTGTATATTACAAAGAAAATCAAAAACTGGTCACACAGGAGCTTTCCTACTCCACTGGAAAAATGATTAACATCTACTTTGGGGGAGCTCATCCAACCCAATAACTCTACAGTTATGTCATTTTCACTGAAGAAGCAAGTGTTGATAAGAGTTCTAACAATGATATTCCACCAACCCATGGAACTTATATAAACAATTTTTAAAAAAGAAACAGATCATTGAAAATAGAACTTTTCTTTAATATTCAGGTGTTGATTTTCCAAACTGAAATGAACATTTTATTTTTTTTGCTAAGGTCTTAATCAAGGCATCTATTCAAATACAAAGATAAGCATTGGCTTCTATGAAACTCACAAGATTTCTGCATATAGAATTTGATATCATGGCTCTTACTGTCTCCTGTCTTTACTATTCTAGTTTCTATTACCGTTTTATTTTATTCCATGTAACCTTACCAATTCCTTGTTCACTTTGTGAACAGTTTGTGATGTACCTTTTAATTTTTGTTCTTGTTTTTTTGTTTTGCTGGCTAATATCTCCTTCCTGAACGTTATGGTAGGTTTTAAAAATAAAATGTATGCAATCCACAGTCAAATATAAACTGGAATTAATCAGAATTCAAAGAGATATAGGCCATTTTCAGTAAATTCAATCTAGTAAACTTTTGTTTTGGAAGTCCTTTAGAGTTATTTTTAGAACTTCACGATTCTTAAACTTACTCTGTTTCAACCAAACAGAGCACATAACAAAACAATTTAATATATATCACAATGAGTCATATAAGATTTTTTTCACCTTTTTACTCCTCTTTATCTATTTAATTGCTTTATTATAGTATAAGGAGTTGTTAGTTCAGAAAACTTTTATAATAATAATAGCTTGCCCTTCCTAAAAATAGCAAATTATATCAACAATAGAAAATGGCTTTAGAGATAAAATTGTTCTCCTAGGTTTGAATAAATATTATTTTGATACAGATAGAGATGCGATCATATTTCATCTGGCTGATAGATTATGATGTGTTTTTCTATGAAGTGTTATTAAGCTGTTGAATTTATTATGTACCATGCACATACACACACACACACACATACACAGCATACATAATTTGATCTTGAAATGTTGCTTCATTTGCCATCAATTTACAATGCTTATAGAAGAGTCATTATTTCTGTCTTTTAAAACAAAACATTTTTATTTATCTCATATATACTTAGTAGTTTTAACAATATTTGGCGACAACAACCTTATATTTGAAAGACTAATCAAATAACCAAATGTCCCTTTTTAAACCAATATTGGATCTCATGTTTGAATTGCACTATTAATAATGAGAATTTATTTCCATTTATCTGTTTTTATGTCTTTTCCCAAGCTCCAGTCTTTTATTCATGTCCACAGTTAATGAAGCTACTCAATAGAATACTGTCAGAAGATGAGTATAGAAAAGTCTGACATTGACTTTGCAATTCAATCAGAACTGTTTGGAAATAGAGTCCTGCACACTCTGATTTTATCTGAAGCTAATCAGTTCATTCAAACTTTATTGCCTTGATATTACCACAAAATGCAAAGTGTTTTAACAGTTAAGTTTTTAATAGAAAAAAATCACATTAATGGTTTATAGCATTTTTTGAGTCTCATGCATACAAGTGAAAAGGCTGTGGGCATTATTGTGAGTGGATCAGGAGATGGGGTGAGATTTGGGTACCAGGAAGAGGAAGATCATTGGAGAAAAACAAAAACAAAAAACAACCCACAAAACAGAGGATTGCCTAAGAGATAAAATCCAGGCTAGCAAATTATTGATAAGGGCTTGCTCAAAGGCATGGATTAAATCTTGAACATTTGTGATCAAACAGAAATCCTTAAGTAGTAGAAGATTAGGCAAGCCCTTAAAACAACC